GTCTGAAGCTGTGGACAGCCTCCAAAGGACAGGATGGTGAGAGGCACAGAATGGGGCAGGAGCGGGAGGGACTAGGAGAGGGTGTGGGAGGCGGGGGATTTTGGGGAGGGGTGTCAAGGATGGAACAAAGCAGGCATCAAGCTTAATCTCCTGGACATTCGGTGCCTATTACAGAGATACTGAGGGGTTGACTCATTCAAATGAAGCTCATAAAATTGCCACACTTCAAGAGGGAGCCCTCTCAATGCCACTTAGCAACTTGGAAACCAGAGGACAAGCGAAGGGCAGACAATGAGAGAAGATGCATTGTGGGTGCAGAGTAGGGACATGTACCCACGGTGGTCATGCATAACCCTTCTCTGCACCTGACTTCATGGGCCTTCCCCAGGGCAAGCAGGTATGTTGGAGGTGCTCCTGATTCGTCCTCCCTTTAGTAAGCACTTCCCGAAGGTTATGTAACAATTCTTAGCACAGGGTTGGGCCTGTAGCAAGGGCTCAATAAATGTCGACTATTGTGGTCCCTAAGAACCCCTATAGGAAGAGGGCACTACAGCAAACTGTGACTTTCCAAGTTGGATCTCATCGTTTTAGGCTCCAAACAAATCTCCAGAGAAAGGGTACGGAGAAGCCCAAAGTCAGACTCAGGAGAATCCTCTCCATCTCCATCCACTACACCTAATTCAAGATGCTGGAATGCAACAAATCCCAGTGTGGGGCTGTGGGATTGTGGGCACTCAACCAGGAGTTTGCTTTTGCGTTCTAGGAGAGCTGGACAATTAAAAGGGTCCTTGTGTTGAAAATAAAGATCATAAACTAGGGTAAAGGGTTCTGCCTCTGGGACAGACACCTGGGATTCAAATCCCAGTTCCTCAAACAAGCTATTTTATCTTCTCTAATCTCAGTTTCCTTATCCATAAAGTAGAAGGAATAGAGCCCACTCCCTCAGGGTTCTTGTGATAATGCAATAAACTAAAATAAGTTAGCATGTGTATGGCCTATCAGTGCCCCTGATAAACAGCAGTTCTTAGCATTCGGTCATGTGTCCAAGGTCAAGACCAAAGGCATGGGAGAGCCAGGATGACCACTAAGTCCATTTCCCATGAGTTTACCGTTCTCTGAAAATGAGTCAATCCCCCTCTTCTACTTCCCCACTATTCTGGCAAGGGGACAGAGAGAACCATGAGAGGCTGTGAATCCCAAGGGAAAGGGCAAGACAAGAAAAGGAAAACCCATGAAAGAATAATGTTCAATGTTGGGTGTGTTGGAGCAGCAGCCATTAGATCTGTTCTTAATAGAGTTAACATGGCAGGAGACCATGAAAGTGAGAAGACACTCTCAACCATGAAATATGGTCTGACTCACACAGTCTCCACGGGAGCTGATGGGTATTAACTTGATTACTTCCGAGCAGGTGTGACAAAGCCAGTGTCATCCCTGTTATTACAGCTACAGTCACTGGGACTGCTTTAGCCAAGGCTGTCACATTCCTGTCACTCAGCGCTTCCTCACTTGAGCCAGTAAATGCCTAGTATGGTCTGAATTTTCCCCTTCTATTTCCCCTCTTACTCTAGGCCAAGAGTCGTGTGTGTGTGTGTGTGTGTGTGTGTGTGTGTGTGTGTGTGTGTGTAAAGGGAAGTTGTTGAGATAAGAATGGAGTTTGAAAGAAAAATGTATTGCACACTCAACAAATATTAACTGTTTAATAAGTGCCAAGTACTGTTCAAGATGCTGGGAAGATATACGTGTGGAAGGTGGATAAGATTACTGCCCTCATAGAGCTTATGCTCTTTAAGGAATTATCTTGGTAGATATATTCAGAACTCCCTACCTCTCTTCCTTTTTCCCTCCCTCCCTCCCTCTCCCTTCCCTTCCTCCCTCCCTTTCCTTCCTTCCTTCCACCCCACATTCCCTCATTTAATAAATACTCTGGAGTCAGACTGCATCCTACCTTGGCTACTTAATAGCTAACGCAATCTTAGGCAAATTTTAAACCTCTAATCCCCTATTCTCTAAAATGGAAACAAGAATAGGACCCATCTACATGGTAAGACTTACAGCTAATGTGAGGGCCTAGATCTGAGAAATGGCCAGAAAACTGAATTCAAGAATAGCTCATGCACAGCCTGTTAGCCTGGGAGGCCAAGGAAGATAGATGAGGCTTTTGCTCAGGTCTGAATAGGCCGTGATCTCTACCCTGGCCATCCCAGAATCCATCATGCACCTCTGAGGTCTATGAGGTGGGTACACCCCCAGGCCAGGCTCCATTCTGTACCAGGCTAGACCTGAGGGGGATGTGAGGGACTGTCATTATCATCCACTGTCATCTGCGGGTTGCTAGGGAGACTCCAGGGGCCTGGAAGCTGGCCCCTCCCCTGGAGAAGGTCTAAGCCACGCTCTATATCCTGACAACACTGACATCTTTCTGAATCCTCTGGATAATTTGATTTATTTAAGTGTCTACTGTTGACATTTATCCCTAAGTGATTAGACTCATAGGCACAATGGGGAAATTCAGCGAGGTCGTAAGTCAAGAGCTTAGTGCAGTGCTGGCCTAGAGCTAGAGCTTACATGTTAGCTATTGCTGTCTCATTAGGCATGTGCCAGGTGCTGGGAATAATGCATGCATGCATGTGTGCATACACACACACATGCACATGAAGCAGAGGTCAGTGAGTGCAAAGAAACAGCCTTTGTTCCTTGCAGCAGCAAAAGCAACCTCTGGCCCCTCTTGAGTACCTGCAGGTTTCTGTACCTTAAAGCAAAATTCATGTTCCCTGTTTTTCTTCCTTTAAAAGCACAGGGAGGGTATTGTGAATACCAGAGATGTGTATTTTATGTTAGAAACAATCTATAGATAAGAACAGTAGTTTAATTATAGTTATAGAAATGTGTGTGTGTGTGTGTGTGTGTGTGTATACACACACACACACACACACACAAGAAATAAAAGTTGGAAACAGAAAAATAGAAAACAGATGCAAAAGCAAGACCCAGGTACTAATTTCATCATTATTTATAAGAGGGAGTTAGTACATCCTGACTGTTTATATATTAATAAATGAAATAGTAGTCATAAAAACACCCACCAGAATTAATAAATAAAAACCAATACTATTAGCATAGGTCACTTCTATGGTATGTGGTATATGGTATGTATTATTTATAGACTTTGATAATCCCAAACCTTCTTGTTGCCACTGAACTCTCAGTTATTTCACATTTTTTCACAAAAATTTTGAGATCTGGCTTTCCCCTTTAACCCAACTTCATCTAAAAGGAGGAGCAGTGTGGAGATTTCAGCATCCCCCAGATCCAATACTTGGATTGTCACTGTCTTTTATGTAGGGTGACTGTACCCATTACTTCAAGTCAGTAACTGCTGATATCCAGGTGAGCCCCTAATCTCTGTTATTAGTTCAGTGGTTTCCCCTACACGCCAAACTCAGAAACAGAACTTCCTATCACTCATGTCGACGTGCTAACCCCCAGGCATTTCAAAGTCATCATATCCAGTCTTGGAACCACCTGACTTAATAGAACATGTGGCCTGAGTTGATTCTTCTCCCACCCAGACAACACTACAAACTCTTTTAGGGAGCAAAAGACCATGGGGAGGGAGGGATTGCTTCCAAATACTCATGTATTAGTTTATCATATTACCAGATGAAAGAGAGGATGTTTCTTATCTGTAAAGTGGGAGATGTTCTAGAACCTTCCTCTATGGACTCCCATAAGAAGGAATCGTGTGTGTGCATTTAGCACAGGGTCTGTCCCATATATAGAGCTACAAAAATGGCCACTATTAATACTGCAGTCCATTTCATGGGATGAGAGAGAAGGGCATAAAATGTAATTGTGAGAATATGGGTGTGTTTTTTTAATATATTTTATTGATTTTTTTTTTTTTTTTTTTTTTTTTTTACAGAGAGGAAGGGAGAGGGATAGAGAGCTAGAAACATCGATCAGCTGCCTCCTGCACACCCCCTACTGGGGAGGTGCCCGCAAACAATGTACATGCCCTTGACCAGAATCGAACCCGGGACCTTTCAGTCCGCAGACTGATGCTCTACCACTGAGCCAATCTGGTTTCGGCGAATATGGGTTTTGAAAGCAGGAAGAGCTGGGCCTCAATCCTAACTCCCCCGTTTATTAGCTGGGAGGCCCTGAGAAAGTTAACTTGCCTGAGCCTCAGTCTCTTCATCCACAAAATGGGATAAAACCTTAATGGCCTCATGGCATTGAGAGAAACAGGTGACAGAATGGGTGAGAGGAGCTTAGCACACGCCTGGAATGTGTGATGTTGCTGCTTCTTCGAGTGGAGTTTGTGTTGGGAGCTGACAGGCAGTGTAGGAAATTTTCCTCTTAAACAGTCTGTTTTTATTTTGTTCTGTTTTGCTTTTAAACTCTCACTGTTTCTCTTCAGAGTTCAATTTTTAAAATTACAATTTTTTCAAAAGACTACCTGTAATTCTTCAGAAATGCTGTGCTCTATAGACAATATATTTTCAAATCATGTGAGTCTAAGGCTGCTAAGATCCCAAGAGAGAGGTATTATTATTTCCCCCCCAATTTACAAATGAAGAGAGGCTAAATAACCTGCCAATCTCACCCAGCATTGTTTTTCCAAATCTCAGGCCTATCTGAACCCAGTGTGTGCTCTTAACCCCAGCACTGGGCACCACCTCTGGTCTCCACCCCAAAATCTCCTACCCCCATCTGTCTCCTTCCACTTCTCCTCACAATGGTAGCATAGAAAGAGTTTAAGCTTTGGAGTCAGACTGTCCTGAATTCAATTCCAACTTCAGAGTCTTGTTTAAAACACCAGATTATGCCTACTTCTCTAGGCAGTAGTGAGAATCAAATGAGATTTGTTTTTGGAATTTTCCTAACGCCTTTATCGCAGTGCCTGGCATGCAGTAATAAAACAGTAAATATTAGCCTCTTGGGTATCCTCCCCCTAAACTTCCTTTTCCCTCTCGGCTGCTTCCCCAGACACTCACATAAACCTGAGCTCTGACTCCCGTCGGACCAAAACTTCCCGGAGGCGCTGGATTTTCGCCATTTCCAGTTCGATCTCCTCTGGCATCATGGTTGTCTCTGCCATGGAGATGATGTCCAGCTGACCTGTGTGGGAGACATGAAATGCAGGGGTCAAGGCCCCGAGTGTACACTGGTTTGCAAGGATTCCCTCACTTCAGGGAACAGATTCGATCCAGCGACCTTCACACATGGCAGAAGCACATGGATCTCAGCTTTCACAGCAAGTGTGTGTTTTCCAGAAGGCCCTTAGAAGCTGGAAAACACACCTTTCAGTGGGAACCCTGTTATGATGGCACATGGAGGCTCAGGTGGGCTCACCAAAACCTGCTCTCAATTGTGTCTGTGGCCTTGACGGTCCCTGGCTGTTCCTGGCTCCTGAGCCTCTGCTCCCCTAAACCATGACCACTTTGCCGGGTCCCAGCCCCCAAGACCAAGTTCAACTTTCTAGAGAATAAAGTTTTATAATAATTATCTTATAGTAACACCATTAATTATCATCTTACAGGAATACTAAGTGATATAAGCAATAGTAATATAAAATAATACAAGTTTGTTGTAGAAAATTCAGATAATACAGACAGACAAAAAAATAACAAGGTAAAAAGTCAACCACTACCACAATGCCTAGAGAGAACCACTATGCACATTTTGATGGGCAGTCATCTGGTCTTATATTTATAGTTAATTATATATATTGTTATATAATAAAAGTATATTTAAAACATATATAACCATATATATTATCACATACACATTATCATCTATATAGAGAAAGACACTACATATATATGTATATATACACATACACACATACACTGAGGGGCCAGATTATTATGATCTCGGAACACATAACAATCTGGCCACTCAGTGTATATCCTATATAATAAAAGGCTAATATGCAAGTTGTCTCCTCAGCCAGGAGTTCGACCAGCAGGCAGGCTGGCCAACCACCCGTGTCTGGACCCCACCCATGCATGAATTCATACACACACACACACACACACACACACACACACTGAGTGGCCAGATTATTATGCGTTCAGAGATCATAATAATCTGGCCACTCGGTATATATACAACTTAGAGGCCCAATGCATGAAATCCATGCAAGGGTAGGCCTTCACAGCACCAGCTGCCTTACAACCCTGTGTGTCTTCCCCCCCCGCCCCCCCCCCGGGTCACAGAAGGTCTTTCTGGGATCTGGTCTAATTAGCATATTAGCTCTTTATTATATAGGATTATATACATAACAGACGCCTGGTGCACAAATTCATGCACAGTCCTGGGGAGGGGCCGCAGAGGTTGGCTGGCTGGTTCCAGCCCTGATCGGACCAGTTAGCCAGCCAAAGTATGCATCATAGTAACTGGTCTTTCTGGTCACTTGGCTTTTATATATATAGATACATTCACTATTTTATAGGTCTGTTTTTTGTCATACTGTATGACGTGAAGGTCTCACATTTTCCTACCTGCTCTTTTTTACTAAATAACATATCATGGGCATTTTTGCACGTCCTCAGATGGTCTTCCCCAGCAGCAGTGTGAAAGGCTGTGTAGTTTTCTATTTGCGGCTGTGTCATGAGTCACTTCACAACACCCAGGCAGTTAGGCTGTTTTCTATTTTCCCCACTAAAAAGAGCCCTGTGATGAGCATTCTCAAAACTTAAATCTCTGCGTGCATCTAAGAGATTTCTTTAGCCCACATTTCCAGAGGGAATCTTGCAAAGGATGCAATATTTTAAGGTCTTTCCCAAGGAGAGAAAGAGACCCACTCTAAGGCCAACATCACATCTCCTACATCGGCTAACTCCTTCATACCTGGTCCCTCAATGCTGCTACCCTGCAGTTGTCTTTTTCCTTACATCCCAGCCAGTGGTTTGGAAAGACTACCTGTCTCTCTTCTATAACCTGGATCCCTGACCCAGTACACCTGCCCAGGTACTGTGATTACAGACCTCCCTAAGTTAATTCCTGCCTGCATGGCTCTCAGAAGAGGCCCATTCCCAAAAGCCAACACAATTGCTTTGTTATCTGTGGGACTCTCCTGACTCAAAGTTCTTCATTAGATGTCAGATTTTTGGTAAATTGCCATACCCTTCAATCCACCTCTCCCACCATTCAAAAGGCCTGGCTTGAGAAAGGAGGGAAGGAAAAAAAAACAAAACACCCAAGATTAGATATTATTATGAATTGAGCATTACTGTGTCCTGGGTTCCAACTAGGCTAGAGGATCAGCTTCAAGGAGCACCACCTTTGAGCACAGGACAATATGGGGTGGTAGTGACTTTGGGATGGGAGGTAGGGGATGTTCTGAAGTCAAGTGGTTTGGGTTTGCTCCTCACTAGCTGTGTGGTCTTAATAAACCTCTCGTGACTCAGTTTGCTCCTCTGTAACATGAGGATACTAAGAGACCTAGCCAACCAGGGCAGTTGTGAGAACTGAATTAACTTAGACATGCCATGCTCAATGCATTGTTACAATTACCTTGGTTATCACCACGGGGCCCACTCTGCCGGGCCATCTCTTTATCCTCCCCACAAGCCGGCAGGATTGGCATGTTCTCTTTTTTACAAATAAGGAAGCAAAAGCTCAAAGCTGAGCACCTGTGTGCCTCCACAATGCACACTCCTTGCCTCATCATCTCTGGCCCTTTCCCAGACAGGTGTTCTAAGTCCTATACCCTAATTATTCACATCCTACGAGTCCTAGGGCTGCTATAACAAATCAGCACAGACTGGGTGGCTAAAACAGCAGGAAGGACTTCCTTCACAGTTCTGGATGCCGATGTCCCATATCGAGTGCCAGCAGGGCCACACTCTCTCCAAAGGCTGTAGGGGAGGGTCCTTCCTTGCCTCTTCCAGATCCCGCTGGTTCCTGCAATCTCTGGCTTGTGGCAGCATCGCTCCCACTTCTGCCTTCCTTTTCACATAGCCTTCCTCCCTGTTGCTCTATGTGTCCTCTGCCCTCTTCATCTCATTGGATTTAAACCTAATCCACTATGATCTTGTTTTGATCTTTATCTTTTTTTTAAACTGTTTTAATTAATTTTGAGAGAGAGAGAGAGGGGAAGAGAGAAAGAGAGAGAGAAACAGGATGACACTCAACCAACGGAGCCACTCTGGCCAGGCCAATCTTTATCTTAATTGCCTCTGCAAACACTCTATTCCCAAATAAGGTCTGAGGTTCTGGGTGGATATGAATTTTGGGAGAGCACTACTTAGCTCACTACAGTGACGAATGGTCACAAGCTTTCATGCTACCTCAGAGTGATGTCACATTCAAGAGCTTTAGTCACATGAAGCCCAGCCAGCCCTGCCTTGAAGCAGCAGGAGTCCCAAGAAGTGGCCAGGGAAGGGGGCATGGTGACAACCAGCTGAGGGCCAGAGTTGGAGATCCTTGATCTGAGGCCAATCACTGGTTATATGACCTTGGATGTGCCCTTTTTACCACTTTACATCACTTTATTGTTTGCAAAATGGAGTTCAGTAGCTCTTGTGTGTTACACTGTGCTGAGGCATATATATATATTCCCATTTAATCCCTAGTTTACAAATGACGAGTCTGAAGCTTAGAGAAGGAAAGTGACTTGACCAACATTGCACAACTAGAACATTGCAGAGACAGAATCCAAACCTGGGTCTGTCTCTCCTGTCTCTCTCTCTCTCTTTCTCTTAACCATTATTATATAGCCTCCAGACAAGGATTAAATGTATTTGAGGATGCAAGAGCTCATGGTTAATGACCCTGCAGATATAAATGGGTTTCTCACATCACGGTTCAGACGGGCAACCTGATTTCCATGGGACAGATGCTGAAAATGACAAAGCATCCTGGAGCAAAGTGTGTGACAAGAAAATTAATCACACCCCATGGGTTGGCATTTCATTTTACCTCTGTGCTCGGGAGAGGATGGAGGCGACGGCACTGCTAGGCTCCAGGTACTGAGATAAACATTTAGCTCTGACTTTGGGCAGAGAATGAGGCTGATGCCTCTATTGAAAAGACTCCATCAGCCGGCACTGGTTTGGCTCAGTGGTAGAGCGTCGGTCTGCGGACTGAAAGGTCCCGGGTTCGATTCCGGTCAAGGGCATGTACCTTGGTTGCGGGCACATCCCCAGTAGGGGGTGTGCAAGAGGCAGCTGGTCGATGATTCTCTCTCATTGACGTTTCTAGCTCTCTATCCCTCTCTCTTCCTCTCTGTGAAAAATCAATAAAAATATAAAAAAAAAAAAAAAAAAAAAAAAAAAAAGAAAAGACTCCATCAGGCAGGGATACTTTCCTTCCCCTGGAGAATGGAGTGAAGCCTAGATCTCAAATCAGATATAAATTAACTAGAATCCCTTCTTGGAGTACTAGCCACTGTGCTAGGCTTATTCTAAGCCATATCTCAATTATCTTCACAGCACCTATGCACCAAATCCAGGCCCTGGCATGGTTTTGTAGGTAAAGTTTGACTGGAACACTGGCCATGCTCACTCATTTACATGCTATTTATGGTTGTTTTTGCACTACAACAGCAGAATGTAGTAGCTGCAACAGAGACCATGTGGCCTACAAAACCTCAAATATCTACTATCTAACCTTTTACAGAAAAAGTTTGCTAACCCCTGCCCTAGGTAGTAGACACTATAATTTCCCCCTTTTAAAGGGTTTTTTAAAAAAGCACCACACTTTTATTCAATAACAGTAATAACTAACATTTATTGAGCACTTGTCACATGCCAGGCTCTGATTCGCAAAACAGACATGGGTTGTAAATATAGAATCCCCATTTCACAGATGAGAAAATTGAGGCTCAGGAAAAGAGTAAGATTTGATACCAGATCTGTCCTACTCCAACGCCCTTATTGTAATCAGCCATATTCATTTAAGAACTATCTCCCCAATTAAGACATCTTCATCTTAACACTAGAGAGAACTGAATATATTCTACTGCATTAGGTATATGGAGAGTAGCTGTTCTCAAGTATTAGCAGGCACGCTGATGATCTGGGGAGCTTGTTAAAAAGGCAGCTTCTCTGTCTCTACCCCCAGGGACTTTCACGCAGGAGGTTTTCAGACCAGACTCTGAGAAATGCTGAATA